CGACAAACCATCTCGCTGCCTGGCTAATCAAACTATCCATCTCTGCAGATGTCAGTTATTCCAGTCCCGGACCTGAACCAGTTCATAATTGCTGTGTGTATGTTGCTTCAATAAACTCTGTTAAACTTTTACTCAGCTTCCTGTGGTGTTCTGCATATGGGTTCAGTCTCTTTAGCCTATCATGACAATATCTGATTGCTGTATAATTACTGTCAGATTGATAGGAGGTTTAAAGAGGACCCAAATGCAGACAATGCAGCTGAAATAGTTTCCTACAGGTTTAATCATACAAGGAGGTAGTCATGTAATGAAATGAGTCAAGGTCTCGAAGCGTGTGTCGAGTAATGAAGGGGATCGTTTCTCTAAAGTGCGTGTCGAGGTGTGATTCATTTAGGGGAGGGGCCAAAATGTATGACTTTTGAAGCTTTGCTGCCATGATACCATGTGATCACTTCAGGAAGTGGTTCAGAAAGCGCAAGAACTTCAACAGGCATTTAAACAGCGGCACTACTCAGACAAGATGTCAGAGTTTGTAGAAGAGTTGCTGTGAGTTGGATAGAGTTTGTATATATTCTAAGAAGAGATTTGTTGGAAAAACAACCAATCTAATTAGCTAAAACTATTTTGATTAGATTAAACAATGTAAGGATCAAAATCTGAGCAAGCCGCTGGACACCGTGTTAACATTAGTGTTAAGTACTATTGCTGTCTGTCAAACAGTTATTCATTTTGGTGGCGTCATCTGCAAGACATGAACTTTCACCCCTGAGGTTGTTGGTTCAAGACCCACCTTCTTTTGAAAGTTGCAATTATACTTAAGTATTTTGGCTAATGTGACTAATTTGTATTGGTTTGCCCTAGTACAAATATAGATTAGGTAAAAACACTGCCAAATTAGATTGGCTCATTTAGCCAAAAGATTGATTAAACACATAACTTCCAACCTGATTAAAACCAAAAACTGCGGAAAAACTATAATGTTTGAATAAAAATTACTAAAAACTTTGATTTTGCTTATCATTGCTCAATTTGCACAAACACTTTCACTGTCTGCTTGAGCTTATTTCACCAAAATGGCAGAAAAACTTTGTACCTAAAATGATTGTTCTCTTCAATTTACACACACAAAAAACGTTCAAAATATTTAATTATACACACCAGTTATTAACAATTTCAAAGGACAATTGCAAAAAATCACATTTTATTACCAACTGTAATCATGCACTCCACCAGTAGGTGGTGATATGTTCACATGAAGCTTCATGAACTCTGGTGATTCTATAAGCAATTTGGCCAAACGTTTGAATGCCTCATGAGGCTTCATCTCGTCATCACTAAAAAGAGGCAACAGAAGCAAAAGTCCACAAACTAAAACCAATAAAACCAACATCTAGGAGGCATCAGGGAAAACACACATGAAGGTTAAAGAAATGACGACAAGGAACCAGCAAACAGGAACTGAACAGGAGGTGTATATATGGGATACAGAAACAGAGACCTGGCTAATCAGCAGATTGGGAGCAGGTGTGGACAGAGGAGTCTAGAAGGGAGCTAGGAGAAGGAGACTGACACAAGAGAGCAGCAGAGGGCAAACAAGAAATACCAAAGAACTCACATACATTCAAAAATAACTATAATAGCACAAAATGGAAATAAAACCAATGAAACCTCAAAGGGAAAACTTAAACAGAACCAAAACCATGACAGGCTGGTTCTCGGAGTTTCTTCATTTACAGGTAGCAGAGAATATTAAACACAGACTTTCACAAACATAAAAATGGGAAAGCAGAATTTAGTTTCTCAGATTTTTTTTATGATTATAAAACATATCAAAATGATGAAGTCCTTAAAATAAGATAAATATTTTCGCCTCTTATTGCACTGATTCTTCTACATCAATCTCATTCTGGTAGCGTTTTTTCATCTGAACAAAAATACCAACAAGTGTCCAAACCCCTCAGATCATCTTTTCCAATAAAGTCAAACTGGATCGACCCCTTAGAGCCAGTATTCATGTCTGTGGCTGTGGCCGTTATCTCTGTGGAGCCAAACCGGATTTCTAATTTCACCTGCCGCTCTCTGCCTCCATTAATATCAGGCATTTCAACATCAAATGAACCAATATCATAGACTCCCAAGTCATCAACAAACTTAGCAAAGAGCCTTTCTGTGCGAAAAAATCTCATTGACATCCATGTCTGGTACTTGTTTACTGGAGAAAGAATGTGTTTTCTAGTCTCATTCCAGGACACATCTTCACCTGCCTTCACCAATGTCATGAACATATCACTGCACCACTCCTCCTTGCCAATCATTAATTTCTTTTCGGGTTTATGAACGAGCTCAAGAAAGGGCTCACACACGGCCACCCCATAGGTGAATGCACTTTTTCGAGATGCAACCCAGGCTGGATTTCTTCCAAACTCAATGGCTCCTCTCAGGATTGCCTCTTGAGCTCTAAAAGGACACAGAATACTACAGATATCCTTAAACTGATCTGTAATGTACTGAAGCAGAATCTGGCTGTTAGCAAAACCCCCAACCAACAGAATGTAGTCAATTTTGCTTTCTTTTTTAAGGATTTCCTTGAGATTCCCGGCGATGCCCTCTAGACTTTCCTGAAAGAAAGTTCTCATTTTCTCTTTAGAAATTTTGATTGATCCCTCAACCCAGAATGCACCTTCTACTGACTCAAAGCTCTTCTCTATGTCTTTCTTTTTCAGAATCAGACTTCCCAGATTAAACGGACAAATGAACTGAACATCGTCATCAACCTGTTTAAGACGAGTAAAATCATACATCAACTTCTGAACCTCATTGGGATAATTTTCTTCATATTCCTCCCAGATTCCATCACAGAATATTTCTTTAAGGAACTCTTTGAATTTTTTGTCCACAGTTTGTCCTCCCAGGTTGTTTCCAGAGGCCTTGTGCAGCTCCTTCAGAGCTCCCTCTTCCACAACTTCATGAACAGTGATGTCAATGGTTCCACCTGAAACAGACAGAAAAAAAAAGACTTTAAATTCTCACCTTGTACTTAGGGGAATACAGTTACCAAGTATGTGTTGTAGAATTTAATTTATTGAATTTTTGTGCAGCATATTATAAATATTGGAATTATGCAAAGTACCTCCACAGTCAATGACAATGTACCGAGTTCCCAGACACTCATCCAGTGGAGTACAGTTGTGCTTCTCTGTGATGAAACCGTCTGATGGAAGCTTCTTACACCAGATTGAAGCAGCTTCTGGTTCCAGTGCAATTACCAGTCTTTCTTCATTTCCGTCTTCCACAATGCCAGCCTGGACCGGAAATGAAAATACTCAAATATCTGCATGTTTTTGAGCAGAAATAATGTCCTAAAAAAACTGGTCCAACCTGAACTGCAGCTTCTCTCATGAACTGTTTTGCTGACTCTTCCCAGATGGCAGGAACAGTGAGGACCCAGGTGAAGTCAGAGGCCAAGAACACCATACCTGCTGTATTTAATGTGATGGTTTTCAGGGCATCTTCCTTCAGAAATCTCAGAGCCTCTTTAAAAACCTTCAGGGCCATCATTTCCTTCCCATTGGCTGATTTGATTTTCAGATCTCTTTTAATTTCCTGGTATAAACGTGCAGAGTTAGGAGATGCAGGAAAATATGAACAAAAATTGAAAAAAGGTCTGGAGAAAAACAGGTGATGGTTGACATTTCTCTATGAAAGATTGTTCCTCATATTAAAGTAAATCATATTTTTATACACATCCTCAGTTTAAATAAAATCTAGATCTAGGCTCAAACTGCTATAACAAAATAGCAATTAAAAGTGTTTAAGAACTGTAATTATGTCTACATAAAATGGCAATAATACACCTGTTGAAAACAATATATGAAATATGTGACAGTTAATAAACTAATACAGCGTGTCATTTGTGGGTGAACAATTTGACTTACTGTGCCATAGAGAGCCATCTTAAAATTTTCAAAAAAATGGTATTTCTTTGCTTCCTTCCCTCCCATCTTTTTGTATCTTTCAACGGCTTCATAGCCGAAGTTCATGAATTCTTCAGAGTCATCAAACAGGATGCAGGTTGGCGTCTTTGGAGTGTTGAATCCAACTTCTTTGCCCCACATCTTTAAGTGGGGATCAGTGTCTTCTGCACTGGGAGTAATATTGAAGGCATACCCACTGTATGCAGTTCCAAAGTCTATAGCTATGATGTACGAGTCTGCCATTAAACTGGTCTGGCTTGTTGAGGCAACTGAAGCAGGTGAAATGCCGGTAGGAGGAAGTCCCTGCAGCATTTAAATAGTTCATATCACTATATCTAAGCCCCACCCCCTTCCTTCTCTACATTGTTATTGAATAAACCGGAAAAGTTGAAGTTTAATAATGTGCTTTCATCTATGCTGAGTTGATAGGAAGCAGATTTTTGCCAAATAAAGCAGTCTGGAGCATTAGCTCCCAAAGGGTGAGTTGTAGCTAAGACACTGTGTTGGGAAAGCTAATAATCTGCCATTTTGATTTGATCAGGAACTGTTCCTGGGAATTGCATCCACCCACCAAGAGCACATGAAAATTGTACACGCAGCCACCAAAACACACAAAACCTACAGGTGTGAAACGATGATATGTGCATACACATGCCTTTGGTGCCACCAAAATAGAACATAAGTCCATACAAATACTTTTCAGACACCCATACATAGGCCTGCTCTCTCCACACTGGTACACACACACATCCCTGCATGGAACACAGCATATAGCAGACCACTGTTCATGTGGAAAGTGGGAAGCCTTGTGATGTGATGAGTTGTTGAGTGATGTTTGTGAAAGAATGACAGTAAACTCTTCCCCACATGTTAGATGTCATAATGTCAGATAAATAGATTATTCTATGAATAAATTCTTCATAAATATCAAATCATGGAATAATCTAATTGCCTTATGTTAATTGATCTAGGTTAATTTTTAAATGTTTTAGTGTCTTTTTTTGTTTTTTTAGGGCTATATATTTGCAAATAGTTAGGTAATCGTTTTCATTATGCTGAGTGCTATTGTATATTTATGGTCATAATGCTAATTTTCTAAAAAAGTAGAAAGTACAACTGATTATAAAATGAAAAATGTTAATTTCCTTAACTTGAACATTTAATTCTCAGGCATTTCTTTCTTTTTAATTAAAATAAAAACATATATAAATGCACTGGAAAGTTAATAAGTACTGAACTAAATATAAAATCAAATAAAGTTAAAAATCTGAGTTTTTCTCCTAAACAGGATCTCCTCTGAATAAGTTGCCTACACACACCTAAATCTGACAAATCAAATGTTTGGCTGTGACTCCATCCTGGAGAGAAATATCAGCTGTCCTGCTGCCATCAACACCTTTGTTTCTAGATGT